AATTTCTGGGATTTTTCACAGAACTCGAACGGTTCGAGTTCTGGGATTTTGGAAATTCACGTGATTTTACTGAAACTTCACAGAAATTTTGGAAATCGAAGTGATTTGGGATGAAAATTGAAAATTTTGAAAATCGCTCCTTCTTATATCTTTTTTCCATCTCGAGTTATGGTCAAAAACAGGGGGTGTCTTTATCATTATTGGATGCACTGTAGAGTACACTAAACAAGAAGCGAGCGTCAATATTGTAGTTTACAACTTTTCCGCCAAATTTCGTTCTGGCAAGATACATCGTTTGCAACCAAAAAAGTGTCGAAAATGAGGATTCTAGAAATTTCAAAACACTTATCTCGCTTGGTTGGATGTGTACAAAAAAATTGTCACTCACAAAATTGAAAACCTCTACTTTTGTTTAATATAGACTATACAATTTGCAGAGAAAACAGAAATTTTCAGACCACTTTTTATAGGCTTTCAAAGTTGAATATTTTCTCAGCACGGTCATCCAATCGGCAAAAGCAGTTCAGCATACGGGGATTCGCAGTGGAGCGCACAAGCCTAAAACGCTTTCGCGCCAGGTCCAAAAAAGGCGAAATTTAGTACTGAAATTTCAGTTTTTTTTTTGCTAGTTTTTCCGGTTTAAATGATTGTTTCTCAAAATGTTTCACGCTCAGATTGAAGAAGTGATTAAAAGATTTTGTCCGAAAAAAAGTTATTTCGCGTTTTCCGGATTCGCACAAAAAACTCATTTTTAAATCGAGGAATTTTAAATTTTAGACCTTTTCAGTATAATAGCACGAATTGTGAAAAAAAAAACGAGATTGAGTGCTAAAATCAGGCCATTTTCTGCCTAAAATGCAAAACTAAAAATGACTTTTTTTGGAGTGGATGAATTTTTTTTTTTTGGAAAATGGCTAATTTCGAAGCTAATTAGCTTGTCTATCATCTGAGCGTGAAACATTTCAAAAAATAATTTTCTAAACCGGAGAAAAATCGGAATCCTAGATTGACAGTTATTACAGGAGCGATAGACTGTTCACTGTAGGGAGACGCAGAATGCACCGAAAACGCGTCAACAAAATTTGTGAGAACTCGATTCGCGCTTTGGAATACCATGCTCAGTAACTCACTATTTTAAAAAATCACTGTAACACCAAATAATTTTTTTGAAACAGCGAAAAAAAGAAATCAAAAATTTCTGTTTCAAATTTCTTTAAAGGTGGGGGGACAGGAGATTTTTCGTAGTTTTTTTGTAGCTAGAGTATGCATTCTACCGTGACGGTGTACAACGCTTAATGTCACTCTGCGTACAGCTGTCGTCCTCACCTTTATGTATGCAATTGGGCGTGCGCTTTCTCTTTACCCGCGTGGCTCAGTCGGTAGCGGCGCCGCACACTCAATCATTGTCCTCACAAGTTCAACTCCTCGAGGGGCATCTTTGAACGGAATTTCGAGAACATTATTTTTTTCATGTCCCCCCACCTTTAAAAATCATCAAATTTCACTTTTCAACACATTACCGTTAGCAAATAATTAAGAAATTTCACTCACCAGCCGATCACACACACACGTTCCTGGCGTCTCACAAGCATTCGGTCTTGGCTCCGGTTTGGTTCGTTTCATCGTATTCTGCAGCTTTCTGAATGCCCAGTTTGATCTTCCTTCGAGAATAGCGTCCATTGCAGTCTCCTCGACAATAGCTCCTTCTTATATTGAAAAACTGTAAACGACATTCGTCTTGAAATTAAAAAATACTCTAGAACATAAAGTTATTGATTTGGTCCGTGCGGTGAAAGTAGGTCAACTGGAAAATGTGTCGATTTCAACGGTCCAAAATGATAACCTTTCGAATATCGTTCATTTTTCGAGTTTTTGAACAATTAAAAAAAACGTTCAAGTACTAGAAAAGATTTAAAATTTTGTTTTTTATCATGTTCAGTGTTTTTGCAATTCATACATATCACATTTGACCTAGTTTCGAGTATTTTTGTGAGTCAACACAGGATTCTGAAGAATACCATTAGAAAACATGTTTCTGGCGATTTTCCAGATCATTCGAGTAGTTTTCAGAACTTTTTGAGCATTTTTCTGAAAATCCTGTGTTGACTCACAAAAATACTCGAAACTAGGTCAAATGTGATATGTATGAATTGCAAAAACACTGAACATGATAAAAAACAAAATTTCACATCTTTTCTAGTACTTCGATGTTTTTTAATTGTTCAAAAACTCGAAAAATGAACGATATTCGAAAGGTGTCTTATCATTTTTGGACTGTTGAAATCGACACATTTTCCAGTTGACCTACTTTCACCGCACGGACCAAATCAATAACTTTATGTTCTAGGGTATTTTTTAATTTTAAGACGAATGTCGTTTACAGTTTTTCAATATCTTTTTTCGTACTCGAGTTATGCTCAAAAAAAAGGGTATGTTTTATCATTATTGGACGCACTGTATAATTGTCAGGCAAATCGAAAAGTTCTAATCTACTGTTTAGGGGCTTCAAATATTACTATTTTCACCGAAGAAGTCAAGATTTTGGTTTGGAACTGTATTTTAGCCATCGGAAATGTAATCTGAAATTCAAAGAAAGTGTAACATTTTGCGCAGAAACATTTGTGCTTCAAAAATGGATTTCAATTTTAAGAGAAAATTGAAACAGTAGTTTTTTTAGGGAAAATTTTGCTGCTTCAAAAACGTTACTTTTTGAAACAGAGAATTTTGGCAGTGTTAGTATTGAGCAACATATAAATGAGTATCTAAAAATTACTCTTTTTTAAGTTTAAATAATTTTTTTAACAATCATTTTCACACTTCATTGTAGATGGCTAGAGTACAATTCCAAACAAAAACTCAGACTTTACCAGTGAAAAAAGGCTTGCTTTGAAGTTTTCCAAAATTAGTCCAGAAATTCTTCAATTTGTCTGAAAATTTCATATGAAGTTCGTAATTTCATCATGCTCAAAATCCGCTTTTAGCAGCTGACACTGAATTGAAACAGCAATTTTTTTTGGGTATTTCGGATTTTAGGTCTGTCAAATTTACTTTTTCGCAATACACAACAAGATCGGTATACTTCAGTTCAGTGATAATTCTAATTGAAATTTTGAAACAGTAATTTTTGTTGAGTATTGTTCAAATTACAGAGTAAACTAAACAAAAATAGAGCTTGAATTTTTTAGAAGTATCCACGAAAGTGAAAAATTAGCGCTGAAATTTGATTTTTAAAGAAGTTTGAAGCAGTAATTTCTTGAGAAAAATTTTGCTGTTTCAAAATTTTTCCATTTTTGATACAGCGAATTTTTGAGATAGTGATCTCCGGGAGAAATTAAACTTTTAAAATTTCACAGTTTTCAAAACAATGAATGAGAATGTACTAAACAAGAATATGGCTTTAATTTTGTAATTGACCCATTTTTTATCCAGACAGTCAAAAACTGACATCAAGAAAGAAATTGAGAGCAACAATTTGATTTTTTTTGCTGTTTCAAAAATTCTCCTTTTTGAAACATCAAATTTTCGAAATAGTTAGAATCGAGAGTAATACAGATGAGTGTCTCGACATCCTTTGAAACTACAGTAATCCTTATTGATCAATATTTTCAGTTCGACCTTCTATACGCCCGAAGCCGCACCAACCACCGAGGATGGAAGCGACAATATGTCACTCCAGACAACAGAGGGATTCTAGACATGAGCAGTTTCGAAATTGAACACTTCCGAGTCATCATCGAGTGCTCGGACGCATGCGGATGCTCATCAAAATGCCCTCGTCGTCGTGTCCAGCAGGGACAGAGCAAGCACCTCGTGGTCTATTATGAAAATGAGGTCATTAAGTTTGGATTGAGGGCGGTTGAGAAGATCCAGAAGGGCGAATTCGTTTGTGAATATACTGGAGTTGTCGTGCTTCCGAAAAAAGATGTTCAACGGAATGAATCGTATGATGCAACGATAAATTTGCTGCATGAGAACTTGGTCATTGATTCGTCGCAGATTGGGTTAGTCTTTTTTTGGAAATCCGGTGTTCTAGTTCTTTGGCTTCTAGCTTTATAGCTTCTAGCCTCTTTTTCACTTCATCCTGCTCCTTTTTTCCAGAAATTTGGCTCGATTCATGTCCCATGCCTGTGAGCCAAATGCCGTGATGATTGAAACCCATTCAAGAGTCAAGGAATCGGACCCATTGATCCCCAGAATCTCTGTCTACGCTTTGAAAGATATTGCAGTCGGAGAGAAGATCGCTATTTCCTACTACCGAACGGAACTAATGCAGACAGGCGTTGGAATCAAGTGCGGGTGCGTTTTTTTGAAACTACAGTAACCCGACCAAAAATCACCTGATTTCACTTATTTTTAGTTGAAAATGGTCAACTTTGGAGGCCTACAGTGGTCCAAAATTATTCGATTTATCTGAAAATTTTGGAAAAAAGATTTCAGATTCCAAAAGAAAATTTCAAAAATTGTACTGTTAAATTGCCTGAAAATTTTAGAGTATACTAAACAAAAAAAGAGCTTCATTATTCTAGTTTACAACTTTTTCATAACTACAGTAGTTTTTGAGATAGGCGTCTTTAAATGACTAAGGCCGATAACTGGAAACCAACAAAGTTTAAAAGTGCATATCTCAAAAACTACAGCAGCTGGAAAAAAGATGTCAACTACAAAATTAAAGCGCTATTTTTGTTTAGTTCACTCTGGAATTTTCAGACAATTTTAGAAATTCTGGACCACTTTTGTAGGTCTTCAAAGCTGGCTACTTTCAGCTGAAAATAGGTACAACTATAAAAACTGTCTCTTTCCAAAAATTTAGCTTTTAAAGGAGGCCAGACACCAAAAAAAAAGTTTTCCTGATATTTTGCATAGAGAACCCCTATGAGGGGTTGAACTCATGACAGGCTGCTCAGGGGTACAGCGCCGCTACCGGCTGAGCTACGGGGGCGCGAAAGCGCCTGACGACCGATGGTCTACATAAGCGCGGCGCGATTTCGTCCCCCGAACTGACCCCGAAATTTTTGCTGTCTCGCCTCCTTTAAATTTGAAAATCTACAAATTTGGTACTGTATCTAATTTTGCAAGATTTATTCCAACATTTTCAAAAAAAAAAATTCATTCAGATGCCGTCCAAACTGCCCGAACCATCTTCCAACAGCTTGAAATCTCCAGTGATAATTTCCGAAAATTCAGAAATATTTTTTTCTCCAAAAGTTTACTCATTTTCAAATTGTTTGGTGTCATTTTTATCCCATTTTTTAGCTCTTCCCATGTTTTTCATTGTTGTTTTTATTGTTATTTTTTCAGCCCAATTTTCTTGTCTTTTTTCCACTCGGGACCCGTTTTTTCTTGCATTTTTTTCGCTTTTTACACATTTCAATCATTTTAATCGGGTTTCTTTTATAAAAAAAACACATGTGGTCGTTTTTGAGTGACTTTCCTTTTTTTCTAGGATGAGCAATCTTGAATTTCAAAAATGGAAGAGTTGCAAACGCTCGGCCACCACTGGAAAAATTACTGTTTCAGAGAAAATGTTTTTTTCTTGAATTCCAGAATCCTCATTAACTTATGGCATTGATTAATTTTCAATAAACCATAATGACCAAAATTTCCCTGAAACGGTGATTTTCAGTTTTCTCAAATTCGACAAAAAACAATATTTCTGTTTCAAAAGATTCTTATTCTGAATAACTGGATACACTAAATATTGATGTTATGTATTAGGTTGGTAAGAAAGTTTCTTCCTTTTTGGGAGGGTTCTCTTTGAGCTTCGATTTCTAGTTATCAAAGACTTTTATTTTTTTTGCTTATACTTTTATTTTTATTTGGTCTTCAAATACCCTGCATTCACAAGCAATTGGTGAATTTATATAAGGGACATGTTTGGTCATCGCCTACAATTTGCCTTTGGTTCAAAAAATTTCGCACATGGGAGACCCGGTTGAAGGATGCCAACGGCCCAGTGAGTTGGATCTCGATCAATTGCTAAAAGTCATGAAGTCGCATTCACTCCAAACCACTCGTAAAATGTCAAAGGCATTGTCGGTTAGTAAACTAAGTGTTATGAACGGATTGAAGTATCTTGGTAACTTCAAGAACTGGGTCGATTCGTACCCAATGCTTTGAAGGACTACGATATGGATTTCCATCTAAACAATGAGCATGTTTCTCCTATCATTTCTTCGCACGTTCAGTTAGGTGGGGGATCTAATTACCGTAGATGATAAGTGGGTAAGTTACTCTATTAATGTGTGGAAGGGTCAGTTGATTGCCAAAGAACAGCTAGCTCTGGACGTCTCGAAACCTAAATTTTACGTGAAAACGGGGATGCTATGTATTTGGTGGTTTTTCAATGGGATGGAGTCTGGGAACTTTTAGATGAAGGTACCAATATAACTGCCGCATTGTATAGATTCTAATTGGAGAAGTTGAATTTGACAGCCGAATCAAAACGAGGAGAAAAAACGAAAGTGCGCTTCCAGCGCGACAATGCGAGACCACCTGTGACTAGAGGGATCAGCCGAAAATTCATGTCTTTTGGCTAAACCATTCTTTTGCACTCATCGTATTCCCCAGACCTTGCTCTATCAGAAAAATGGTTGTTTGGGCCTCTCACGTCATCTTCATAGAAAATACTTTAATTGAAAAGTTGACACAAAGAAGGAGTTGACCCACATTTTCAATCGCAGCTCTCGTCGTTCAGATCCGATGTCATCAAGAAATTACCAGAGCGTTACCAGACAAATACCGATGCTCATGGACGTTACTTTCATTTATCTTGCCCCCTCTGCTTTAAGGAGAATCTGATCAAAAATTTTGCCAAAAAAAGGAAAAAAACTTTCTTACCAATAATCTTTGCTTTTCAATTAAAAATTGGAACTCCGTTTAAAAGAATCTATTTTAGTTGCCCTGGAATTTGTGAATATTGTCAAGATTATCTTTAAGATAGTTTGCAATCAGTTTCGAAACAGTAATTATTTTTGTAGAAGTCCGTCTTTAAAGGTGGGGGGACAGGAGATTTTTCGTAGTTTTTTTGTAGCTAGAGTATGCATTCTACCGTGACGGTGTACAACGCTTAATGTCACTCTGCGTACAGCTGTCGTCCTCGCCTTTATGTATGCAATCGGTGCGCTTTCTCTTTGCCCGCGTGGCTCAGTCGGTAGCGGCGCCGCACCCTCAATCATCGCCCTCACAAGTTCAACTCCTCGAGGGGCATCTTTGAACGGAATTTCGAGAACATTATTTTTTTCATGTCCCCCCCCACCTTTAATGTCAGTTCCACAAGATATACAAAATCGAATTGTTCAGTTGATTCTTAGAATTTTGACCATTTTCCGAAGCCTGAAGCTCGACTGTCAAGCTCCCTATCACTTTGAAAATTTTGGAGGGTGTAAAACAGACCTAGATTGAAAGCTTTGCATTCACATATTTTTTTACAGTAATCCACAAAAGAGGAATTTTCAAAATATTCTGGAAATGCAAAGTTTTTAGTCTGGGTATGTTTTACACTCTTCATCGGAAACTTGACAGCTAGTCTCTTGAAAAAGTCGAAAATCTACTCAAAACAACACCAGGCATCAATGATGACAAAATTAGCGCACGCAATGCGGATTACTGTCATAAAACAATAATAAGTCAGCAAAATGTGAGTGACACCGTGACAATGAGAACGATGATAATGATATGATGACAATGAGTTGACTCCGCCCCCTAGTATGTCCCCTATAAATACCCGGCCGCTCCATTAGTATTCATTCCATTCCCCTTCCCCTTATTTATTCAGACGATCTTCTGAATGGTCGTCGGATTCATATTCTCTTTGATTTTCCTGATATTATTCTGTCTATTCTATTCTGTTCTTCTCTCTAGAACATTCTAAAATGGTCTAATAAAATGGCTCAACCCCACCTGCAGAACAATGTTTCAACAAAACGGAGCTTCATCTGATAGAACAAAACATCGGGAAAGCTGCAAAAGAAAAGCTTCTAGCCACTTGGACTCAAAAAGAGAGCATCGTGATGAATTGGTTGGAAATTTCCAAAAAGATGAATTATTCAAGATTTGCGAAATTGGAATTGGAAAAAGAAGAAACTCAACGTCACCAGGAAAAACACCGACTGGAAAACCGAAAGTACGAGACTCTACGTTGATTAAGATCAACACAAAAGTTACGAACAAGAAAAAGGAGCCGGTCGAAGAAATGGAATTTGAGGAAGCCGCAAGTGAAAATATCAGGAACGAAGCAGTGACAATGGACAAGCGCCAAACGCTCTAATTTGTTTTTTAACCAATTTTTTTCAACTTTGATTTTTGAATTATTTTTTTAAATAAAAATAAATTAAAATCAAATATTTTTGTTTTTATTCTGGTAATATAAGTTTTTGCAAGGTTCTTGAAAATTAAAACAAACTGATAACGATTTTTGAGCTACGCGGGTGCATCTTTTTGAACTCAAAAAGTTCTTGTTCCTATTCATAATTGAGCGTTTACTGGATTTTTTCACTTTTCAAATAATTTCTTTGAAACACATTTTATATTAGGTTTTTTGACTTTCATCTTTTTCGGTTCTTTTTTTTGTTTTTTCCATACTAATTGCAAGTGAAAATTATTGTTTCAATGAAAAGAAAGTTCAAATGTAAATTGAGATCTGTAATTTGAGATCACAGTAAACAAATTTTTTTCAAAAATTTGTTTGAATCTTCAATATCTATAGATTATAGTTCTATGTGTATAGCAAAAATGAACCATCCAACAATTCTTTTTAGTTTTTATCTGGAGCCGATTTTTTTTTTGAATTTTAGTTTGAAACAAACTGTAAATACTCTAATAGAATGCCCCTAAACCGCTTATTTTAAGCCCATGAATCTCATTTTCTGTGAGATATATCAATAAGAGGTTCACTGATAAAAGATTGATAATATTATGATAAAAATTTTATCAGTTGATAACTTTTTGATATCTCTCACGGGAACGGAGATAACTAGGCTCAAAGTTGAAAGTAAGGAGAGGAATTCTACTAGAGGCTGAAAGGAGCATTTTCTGAAACAGTAAAAATTTTCAAAAAATATTGAATTTATGCAATCATTGTTTTTTGTGACATTTGAGAGTTTTAGAATATTTGAGAACTAGAAAAATAGTAGCGTCGGAAAATTGAACATTTCAAATCGTTTTTGTAAAAAAATTTTTTGAAATTGTTAAGTTTTTCAAAAATTAGAATTTTTGATGGCAAATGAGAAATTTTTAATTGTTTTTAATTGTTTCAAAATTACAAAAACATACGGAAATCAAAAAAAAAAAACTATTTCAAAATTTTTATAAAATTCAGAACAAATGAACTAAAACTTGATGAGACTGGTCTCATATCTTGTCGATCTTATTAATTTTGAATTCAGAAAACTCTTTTTTACATTTTTTCAAGTTGACCAGCCTGTTTGCCGCGCCCCGGCGCTTCAAACAAATGGCTGGTGCGCCTTCGGCGTGATGTCACCTATTTTTTTTGTTCGTCGCTTCGCTCCTATGTCTTTTTTGAAGTGTCACGTAAATTTATATTTTATTTCCAAGCATTGCAAAATGAGCGGACAAACAAACAGACAGAGAAAAATACGCAACTTTATTTATTTATTATAAGAATGATAACTTTTCTTCTAGCTCTGCTTATTTTTGAAGTTATTCAAAAATTTTACTATTTCATAAATTTCCAATTTTTGGAATCAGTTTTTAAAGATTGGTTCATTAATGGCGGTCAAAAGCAGAGGTGGGCGAAGGTTTACTTTTTACTTTGAATATTTTGAGAGAAAAGAGAATTTGTATCTAAAAAATAAACGAGTTTATTATAAGTACAAACGTCATCAGTAGATTCAACAAGATTTTATTTAATGGCTTAGGATTCTGAGTTAGGGTCTTCTCAATCGGTGGGGTCCACCAAGGAGGCGTCAGCATTGGGATCCTTCGTCAGAGAGTTCATTGTTCCAAGATCCTTGAAGCCTCTGATACTGTATTTCTTTCTTGTTTTCAGTCTAAACCATCAGGAACGCTCCAAATAATCTTCTCATCTCTCTGCATGAATTGTCTGATTTCAGTTCCAGGAACTGTCATAGGGTCCTCCAGCAGCATTTTCAGCTCCAGCTACACCTCTAGTTCGAGCTCCAGCAGCTCGAGCTAGAGCCGTCGAGCCCTGCTGGGCCAGGCTCTTGGCTTCTGGCCCAAGCCCCGCCCCCCTCTCGGGAGCCCCGAGAAGGGAGAACTGATTCTTCCTCTTCCTTTATAGTAATCTTATCTCCCTGAGTTCATCTTGGGTCGTGGATTTCTAAACCTATTCACGAAAAAGTAATTTTTCATCACGTAAATATATCGAATTTTCTCTTTTGAAATTTGTGTAATTCCTTAAAAAGATCCTTTCTTTGAACCTAATTATCTGGGTTACTGTAGGAGATATCAAAAAGTCCTCAACTGACAAAATGTTCAAAATTTCATGATAAACATTTTATCAATTGACTAAATTTTGATACCTCTCATAGTAACCGAGATAACGTGCCTCGAAGTGAAAAGCTAAGAGAGTCATACTGAAAATTAAACATTTCACTTTGAGCTCGATTATCTTGGTTCCTAAAAGAGATATCAAAATTTTGTCAACTGATGAAATGTTTATATTATTATTGATACTTTTTTATCAGTTGACGAAAATTTGATAATTTTCAAAGGAACTTTGATAATTGATCTCAAAGGTGGTGGGGGCCGTAGATTGAAAAATCGAACATTTTCGAAAAAGTAACAGGAATTTTTGAAACACATTTTTTTTTCAAAAAACTCATAATTTTAGCAAATATACATTCTTTGATAGCGCTATTTTTCAGAAAACTTCAAAAAATGAATTTTATCAATTCGGAGTTCTTAACTGTCCTTAAAAGATAATTGAGCTCAAGGGAACGGTACTTTAGAAGCACTTTGAGCTCAATTATCTCGGTTCCATCAAGAGATATCAAGAAATCGTTAACTAATAAAATGTTGGTGACAATATGACACATATTTCACCAGTTGACATTTTTAAGATATCTCGGACAGGAACCGAGATAATTGATCTCAAAGTAAAACGAAACTTAAGCCAAGGTTATCAAAAACAGGGTCGCGGCTCTGGTAATCCTATCAGCCTCAAACTATTTTCAGTCAATTCCACTTTTTCACAAAAAAACACAAGTCATCCATTTATTCGAGAGAACCCAAAAGAGAATTCTAGTTCACAACCTTCTGCCCTCCATCCGGCGAATCCACAGTTTTCTGGCTTCCTCCATACCCTGTAATTTTCCTATATTGACATGGTTCCGTATTACGTGGCATTGATTTCAAAAGACGACACAAATCACTGATTTGTTGATTAATCTGTGTCCGGATGTAGACTTCATTATCAAACATTGCATTGGTGATATCCTCAATTTTACAGTTATCCAATTCGAATGGAGCGGCGAGATGTGGAGAGAAACGGAAGAATGGTACTTGCATGGAGTGACACCATTCACGAGACTGACCCACGTGCACGTTATGGGAGGAGGTGCACTGGAAAAATGATAAGGATGATAAGAATGAGCAATTGTCGAAAATGTGGACAATTCTCCAAATTTTTGCTGTTTCAAAAAATGTGTTTTTCGCTCAAAATGTTTGATTTTGAATCCTTTGTCAAAATCATAATAACACCAACATTTTATCAGTTGACAACTTTTTGATACCTTCTACAGTAACCGAGAGAATTGAGCTCAAATTTCAAGTATTGGAATGACGGTCGTTTCGAAAATTGGAAAAATCAAATCTTGGTATTTTTTATCAGTCTGATTGGTTTTAAATCCGTTTTTTTCTGTTAAACAAAAAATCTCTAGAATAAAAAAAACGTTGATTTTCTGAAATTCCAAATTAAAAAAAAAAATTTTTACTGTTTCAAAAAATCCCCATTCTTTCGAAACGTTTCAATTTTTCAATTCTTCATTATCTATATCATTGAGCTCAATTATCTCACTTCCTATTAGATATACCAAAAAGTGATAAACTGATAAAATGTTTATGAAATTATCACAAATATTTTATCCGTTGATAACTTTTCGATTTCTCTTACAGTAGCTGAGATAATCGTAAGAGAACTAACCTGATACAAGAACACAGTGATAAGATTCTTGGCATTGGCAAAAACCTCTTTCCAATTTCCCGTGATTCCCGTAATTCCATGTGTCAAATTGATATCAATTCCGTTGATTGGTGCCGATGGCTCAATTCCCGTCCCAATTGAAATCACACATCCAATCTCGTCCGTATTATTTTTTCCGCGATAATTTTCAATTTTTTTCAATTTTTGAAATTCGGTCATCACCATTATACACGGATTGTTGCAGAATATTGCGCCATCCGCCATTCCGTTGAACGATTGGAAATAGACTGGGGCCGCACTGCAAACTGGGTTACTGTAGTTTGGATGGATTATTGTAGTATTTTATTTTTCAATTTTTGTGATTTGCAGGTAAGGAAACGTGATTGCTAGCTTTCAAAATACCGTCTTTTTTGGAAATTTTGAAACAGAGAGTTTTTGAAATTTGAGAAAAATTGAAAATTACAGTAATCCTTTGAAACTACAGTAACCTTTAGACAGGTGCCGCACTGAAAAGCGGATTACTGTAGTTTTTTTCCATTTTTTGTTTTGGAATGGATTGCCCAGTAGTTGTTTTTCAAAATGTTATTTTTTTTGAAATTTTGAAACAGTGTTTTTTTTTCAATTTGAAAACATTCGATAATACAGTAACCCTATGAAACTACACTAATCTTTTGAAACATAGAAAATTGCGGAAAATTCAATTTTTCAGGTTTTTCTAAAAAATGTTCTGTTTCAAGAATGTTTACATTTTCGAGACAATTTTCCAAAATATTCCACTTCAACATTTGAAACTACAGTACTTCTATAAAGCTACAGTGATTTTCTGACTGAAAACTACAGTATTCCTTTTACACTGAATTATCAGAAAACTAGAATAACGTTTTTACAGTACAGTAATCCTTTCATTTGATATTTTAAAAAATATTACCGTTTCAAAAGTTCTTTTTTTAAAGATAATTTTCCAAAATACTTTGAGACTACCGTAGTTATATAAAGCTATTCATAGTAATCCTCTGAAAGTACAGTAATCTAAACACTGCAGTCCTCCTTTGAAACTACAGTAATCCTTTCAAACTGAATTTTTCAAATTTTTTAAATTTTTTAAAAAATATTTCTGTTTCAAAAATTCTCGATTTTTCGAGTCATTTTTTCGAGTTATTCGAGTCCTATCTAACTACAGTGATCCTTTGAAACTACAGTAATATTATGTAACTACAGTAATCATATGTAACTACAATAATCATATGTAACTACAGTAATCCTTTGAAACTACAGTAGTCTTTTTGAACTACAGTAACTCTTTCAAAGTTCAGTTATCATTTGAAACAACAGTATTCTTTTGAGACTGAATATGAAACATTTTTTCAGTTTCAAAATTTCTCGATTGTTCGAGCCAATTTTTTGAGTTATTCTATAGAACATCAGTAGATCAAAAACTACAATAACTACAGTGATATTCCGAAACTACAGTAATCCTTACGAAGTGCATCGAATCGCTTTCCACAACAGAATCTTATTCGGATTGAAATATCCCAATTGCTCAAATTCTTTCGGATCGATACGTGGCGCATACGATCGGAAGAGAATCAATTGGGGCGGAGCCAGAGTGACTTTTGCAGTTGTGACGACCAGTCTGGAAGAGTTTCAGAGTTTTCTAGGCCAGGGCAAAAAATACTAGGCCAGCAAATCCCAAAAAAAGTTTCTAACTTTGCTCATTTCGGCTCTTTTTCAAAAATTCAAAAACTCGCTGGCCTAGAATTTTCTGTAGAATTTTCTAGGTCATTTATCAAAACTCACTTATGAGCTGTACATTTTGCCATGGGCGTTTTCGGACCCATTACCTCCTGAAGACACGTCTCGATTCCATGCGATGAATGTTTTGGGAACATTTGAGTGTTTCCGCCGAAAATTCGTTTTCGAATCACAATGTAGATACGGAGAGCGTCAGATAAGTCGATTCCTGCAGAAATTGCGCTCTATTGAGAAACTGGTCAGGCTTGGCGGGAATTCAAAATTTCAAAAAAAAACGTTTATTAATTTTTTTCTGTTTTATGGAAGTCCCAAATTGTGTCTTAAGTTTGTTTCAATATTACGGATCGACAATCATTGGAGTTTAAGAAAAAAAGATTACTGTAGTTTCAAATAATGTCTGTAATTTTGAAGAGTTACTGTTAAGGATTATTGTAGTTTGAAAAGAATACTGTAGTTACAATGGATTACTGTAGTTTCAAAAGATTACCGTAGATCCAAACAACGGTTACTGTAGTTTTCCAATAATTTCAAATAAAAAATTACTGTTTCAAAAATTTCAAAAAAAGAATATGATATTTTTAAAAGCTAGTACTTGTGCAAATGAAATTCAGAAATCCAGAAATTCGGACATTCTTTAAATGCTCTCCGTAAATCGAAAAATAATCAAGAACAAAACTACAGTGACCCGAACTACAGTAATCCATTTTTTAGTGCATTGAACTGAGAATTTCGTTAGATCTGGCGGAAATTCAAATTTTCCAAAAAAAGTTTTTTTTTCGAATTTTTTTTCTGTTTCAAAAAAATGCCAAATATTGTCTTGAGATAATTTCATCATTCGCAAAAAAAGTAAGTATTGAGTCAAAAAAAGTCCAATTGAGCGCATTTGCAATTTTCGAAAAATGATTAATTTCTGTTTCACTAAATTCCTTAATGTCGTCATAAGATTGTCTAATTATTAGAAAAAAGGGACGGCTAGAAATTTCAAAAAAAAATTTTCAAAACTACAGTAACCCGAACTACAGTAATCCAACTTACCAACACTGATTGAACTGGCCATTATCCCGCCACAACTCGTCCCAGCGATCCAATGAACACGATTTCGAAGTGGCTCACCGATTTCACGTTCAATCGCCATCAGAATCTGAAGAGGAAAATGCGCTCTATTGATAATTAAAGGTTTTTCAGTGGAGCGCATTTGCGCAGGTCAAGTTTTTGAGGTCAAAATTGGAGTTTAGGAATTTTTCGAAAAATCAATAGATCGTTATTTTTCTATAGAAAGTGATTTGATCAGTTTTTTTGACTGATAAAATGTTTTCAAAAAATTCAAGTTTTTCAAATTTACAAGCTCACCGAGCACTGCAAAACGATTCGAAGTCCACCGCCATCCAAACTCAAAACCACTTTTTGATTTTGATTATTTTCCGAATTTTCCTTAATTTTCTTCTCAATCAAATGCTTATTGTAGGCCATATGATGGCTGTCTACAGTACTCCGAACCGTTGATAGACTTTGTAAATCACGTTTTATGCTGAAAAATTGAGAATTGGGTTTCTACAGTTTTCCGCAGTTCCTACAAAAGCCCTACAGTAGTACATCTAATTTTGGCATTTTTAGTCTAAAAAAGTCATTTTTTGAAGCCCTACAAAAATGGTCCAGCGTTTTTTATTTTGTCTGAAGATTTCAGAATGTACTAAACAGAATCAGAGCTTTAATTTTGTAATTGGCAACTTTTTTGTGAAAATCCATCCAAATGAGATATGTTAAAAATGCTAGATATGCCGAAAATTGAGCTGAAGTGACCATGTTTGAGCTCATTTTGAAGCTCAAAATTTGAGAATTTTTATTTTTTTTTGTCACAATTTGAATTCGGCACAACGAGAGCTTAAAAATGAGCCCAAACACGCCCCGATTCGGTGAGATTGAAAGTTTCGGATGCGTCGCGGTCGTGCGTCGCGTGTCACATGAAACATTCAAAGTGAGCGGAGCCTAGTTGTGTTTGGGCTCATTTTAAAGCTCACTCGCTCACAAGTTTGAAAAATTGGTTTTTGTGTCAATTGGGGCAATTTCAAGGGTTTTATGAGCCCAAATTGAGAAAAAAAAATAATTAGGTTTGAGCTCATTTTGAAGCTCAGACTTTGCGAATTTCGATTTTACTTCGAAATTCAAATTCAGCAGTCTTAGAGGTTCATAACGAGTCCAAATACAATAAAAATCGATTTTTCGTCCAAAACACGCGACGCTCGACCGCGACGCACCCGAAATTTTGAATCTCACCGGATCATGGCATGTGTGGGCTCATTTCAAAGCTCTCCGCGTACTGAATTCAAATTTTGATTTTAAAAACTGAAATTCACAAGTTCTGAGCTTCAAAATTCGAAATTTTGGTTTTCAGAGTTCCCTACTTTGGGTCTTCAGCCAGCTCAATTGGCTGTTTCCCCTCGTTATTTTTCGTATTCCACAAATCCAGATGTGACGCATACACACAAATCGCACGGCACAGAAGACGTCGATCTAGAAGTATCGATTTTCAGAAAAATCGATTTTTTTTCAAATTTACTAAGTTTCGCCGCCAAATGAAGTACCGTATTCCCATTCTTGTCGCGTACGTCGAATGGCTGGTTCCGGACGAAAGCTCTGAAGACGTAACGTCTTCAGAATCCTAAAAAATTTCGAAAACTTACGCCACCAGCCCATCAATATTATCATAAGTGACCGCGTGGAAGATGTCAATGTGGCGCTACAAACTACAAAAACTACAAAAACTACAAACTACAAAAGTTTACCTTAAAGGTTTCTTGAGCGTTAATTCGTTTTAATACATCGCTAAACATTTTTTCAAAAGGAGCTAAATGAGCTTAAAGACGGGGAGAGCGATGCGTGGCTCAAAAAGGGGCGGAGTTTAGAAAAGTCAATATTAGGTCAAATTCACGGAAAATTATACTGTAATTTCAGATTTTTATTTTCTCGGGACGAATAGAAGATAATAACAACAGGAATCTATATAAAAAGGGCGTGGCTTACATAGGCTCCGCCCACTTTTAAAGATCTTGTAACAGCAGGAATCTATATAAAACTTCTAGTCAATTTATCTTGGTTCCTGTGAAAGATATCAAAAAGTGATCAACTGATAAAATGTTCCCGATATTATGATAAAAAATTTATCAGTTGACCACTTTTTGATATCTTTCACAGAAAATGAGATAAATTGGGTCAAAGCTGGGGGCATTCTATTAGAGTGTTTACGGTGTATCTTAACTTTACCTGAATATATCTCGGTTCCTGTAAAAGCTACCAAAAAGTTGTCCACTGATAAAATGTTAATCATAAAATTTCAAATATTTTATCAGTTGAACACTTTTTGTTATCTCCTACAGTAACCGAGATAATTCGGGTAAAACATATTTCAAAAGTGAAAGTTTAATAGTGAGGAATAACGACTTTTTTGTGCAAGAAAAAAAACTCCACGTGGCAAAAAAAGAAAAAAATAATTTTTCCATTTTAGACGCCTGTGACCCTAGATGACCTCAGTGAGATAAGATCACTATAAAGGAAGAGGAAATTGGAGGGAAGAATCAGTTCTCTCTTCTCTGGGCTCCAGAGAAGGGGCGGGGCCTGGGCCAGGAGCCGAGAGCCCGGGCTGGAGCTCTAGCTCGAGCTAGAGGTCTAGCTGGAGGGATTTCTGGAAGTGAAATCAGACAATTCATGCAGAGAGATGAGAAGATTATTTGGAGCGTTCCTGATGGTTTAGACTGAAAACAAGAAAGAAATACAGTATCAGAGGCTTCAAGGATCTTGGAACAATGAACTCTCTGACGAAGGATCCCAATACTGACGCCTCCTTGGTGGACCCCACCGATTGAGAAGACCCTAACTCAGAATCCTAACCCATTTAATAAAATCTTGTTGAATCTACTGATGACGTTTGTACTTATAATAAACTCGTTTATTTTTTAGATACAAATTCTCTTTTCTCTCAAAATATTCAAAGTAAAAAGTAATTTTGAATTTCAAGAAAAAAACATCAAACTGAAAAATTACTGTTTCATGGGAGTCAAACATTTTTTGAGTAAATTCAAAAATCATTATTCGATCAAAATATTGTAAAAAAAAGGCTTTGAAAACCCGGTAGTTTGGTTTTGCGTTTTCAAAATAGCACCTAAGATCCCGCAAAGACAACTACCGTAACCTAAATTATTCTTATTTTCCGGATTTTTAGAAGTCGATTTTCGTGCGTTTTTATTCAATTTTTCAGACTTCTTTAGGTGAAAAATAAGAAAAAAATGACGAAATCGGTTTAAACAAGAAAATCGGTATTTTATGTTACGGTAGATGTCGTTGTGGGATCTTGAATGCGAAAAAAGGAACTACCGTACGTTTTGAGCCTATTTTATCGATTTTTTGCGATTTACTTTGATAAAAACGTCAAAAAATTGAAAAAATAGGATGAAAAATAACGTAGTTTTCGTTATGGGACCTTAAAGGCGCATTTAAAGGCGCAAAAGAGAGCTGCCGTACTTTTTAAGCCCGTTTTATCGATTTATCTCGGAAAAAAACGATAAAAACCGTCAAAATATTGTAATAATAGGCTGCAAATACGGTAGCTCGCTTTTGCACCTTTAATTTAGCACCTAAGGTCCTGCAACGACAATTACTGTAGCCTAAAATTATTATTATCTTCCGGATTTTTAGAAATCGATTTTCGTGCGTTTTCAGTCAATTTTTCAGACCTTTCTAGGTGAAAATTAACAAGAAACCACGAAAATCGGTTTGAGCCCATATTATCGATTTTTTGACGGTTCACACCTGAAAAACTACTAAAACCGCCAAATTATTTTAAAAATAGACTTTAAAAACCATTAATTTGCTCTTTTGTGCCTTTAAATGCACCTTTAAGGTCACACAACGACGACTACAGTACCCGTTAAACTTTTCCCAAAAATTTCGCTCAATTTTTTTTTCAGATTCCCATGAAACAGTAACTTTATTCACAAATTTAAAGGCGCATACCGTAATCTTCATGCGCCTTTGAAGGATTTCCCGCCTATTTTTCTCATTTTTTCCACAATTTTCATGAATTGAAAACCAAATTCAACAAATAATTGAAAAATCGATAATTCGAGATTTATGCGAATTTTATTGAATTGCGCGGTAACAGCAGGAATCTATAAATCTATAAATGAACTAACTAACGAGAGAGGACACAATAAATAAAAAGGGGGCGTGGCTTAGATAAGCTCCGCCCACTTTAAAAAATTTTGTAACAGCAGGAATCTATACGAATTAGTGGGCGGAGCATAGTACAACAAGTATAACATAAAGAAGAATTAATTATAAAACGACGATTCCATATTCAGAAGACGTGGAAAATTCAGAAGACGTCAAATTCAAAGAAGCTTCAAATCCTCGTCCCAATCGATCATGATCATTTGATGGTTTTCCAATAAATCATAAATTTGTGAAATCGATTTTTTCCCAATTTCCACTCCATTCCCGTCGTAAAACGTCGTTTTCGTGAAGACGTACGCTTTGTTTTTCGGCACTCGGGGAATCGCTTTTGGGACCTGAAATTATCGAATTTTGACTGAAAATTCGGGGTTTTTGGAGATTTTTAAGCCAAAAATAGTGAGAATCGGCTGAAAATAGTCCAAAATTCGGATTCCTAGGCCGAAAATGCTCATTTTTAGCTCAAAAATCTGAAAATTCGGAAATTCTAAAAATTCTAAAGAACCAAAAATCCAGAAAAATCGCTGAAAATATCGATTTTTGGCTGAAAATTTGAGATTTTTGGGTCAAAATTGCTCATTTTGACCCTTCTTTGACTTTTTGGACGCGTCGCGGTGTCGCGTGTCAATTTTCAAAATGGGCGGAGCTTAATCGAGTTTGAGCTTATTTTGAAGCACTTGATGAAACAAAGCTTTCAACAACAAAATTTATAAACTACGCCTATTTTCCGAAAGTGGGCGGAGCCTAATTTGAGAAAGTTCGAAATCGTTAAATTCAATCAAAAAGCAGTGAAAATTCGCTGAAAATCGTCTAAAATTGGGGATTTTTAAGTCAAAAATACTCATTCTGAGCTTGAAAATCTGAAAATTCGAAATTCCAAAAATTCTAAAACACCAAAAATCCAGTAAAATCGCCGAAAACATCGATTTTATGGATGAAAATCTGGGATTTTCGGATCAAAAATGCTCATTTTTCAGCCATTGTTAGCCCAAAATACCTAGATTTTCCATCGTAATGATGAAATTTGGGGTATTTTAAGCTAGAAAGACGGTTTCTATGTCAAAATTGCCCATTTCCCATCATTTTTAACTCAAAAAATCCCAATTTTCAGTCGTTTTGAGCACTACTAACCGCCGGTAGTGGTACTTCTTGATACATATCCTCAGTTCCATATGAGAATCGTTTCAATGTTCGATTCAATTCTCTCATGTGTTGCTCATTCGGTGGAAACTCTCTTCGATCGCCACGTGGCAACATCATCGGTCCACGTGGCGGCACATTCTGATGATGACGTGACGATGATGAGAAACCAGAAGACGTTGCATTTCCATGTCTTCTAGTACAATCTCCTCTGTTGTTCGGGTTGCCACGTGGCTGTGGAAGTGGGCGGAGCCATGGATGAGAAGAAGGGGGCGGAGCTTCGAATGAACGAATTTGTGGAGGAGGTTTTTGTGGACTTCCTGATGACGGATATTGTTCTGAAATTTGAGTTTTAGAACTAAAAATGCTGAGAATGTCTGATTTTCAGCATTTTTTGCTAGAAAGTTCAAATATGCATCTTTTGGGGCCAAAAAATCAAAACAACGGGTTTTCTCAGCCTATTTTTTGCGGAAAACCGACTAATTTTTGGCTAATTAGGCCAAAAAAGTCTGAAAATCCTCAAAAATCAATAATGTCTCGTAAAATCGACTGTTTTGCAAAAATAGCATTTTTGAGCTATTTTTGCTGGTTTTTTGCTTTTTTATAGCTTTATTATCAATTTATATCCTCGATTTTCAACAATTTTCCTATAATTTTCCGTTTTTTTTCACTTTTTCCAGAATTTTCCAGAAAATTCCCTATCCACGCACTTTGTCCCGCCGGTCTGCTTCCTCTGAATCCCGATCGTTTCGCTGGTGCATTCCTATTTCTGTATCGAATCGATTATTGTTTTCCACCGCGAAATTGTCTGAAAATTCAAAATTTTAGCCTAAAATCCTATATTTTCTTTACCAGAAGCTTCTCTTGCACGATTCACCGTCGCCGATCGCATTTTTTCTAAAAATCGACATTATTAGGGTATTTTTAAAGAATTTTCGGCGAAAAAACGGGAAAAATCGGTGAAAATTGAGCAAAAACATGAAAAAATCGCTTGAAAATCGACTAAAACGCATTTCGTGTCGAGACTCCAAACATATTTTGAAAGTATGCGCCTTTAAAACTACAGAAATTTTTTTTTCGTGGCGAGACTCCAGAGAAGTTTTACGATTGTGCGCCTTCAAAACTACTGTCGTTTTTCGCCGATTTTCATCAATTTTTGCTAAAATTGATGAAAATAGCAAAAAAAAACTGTTTTTCGTGCCAAGACCCATTAAAATACCTTTTTCATCTATTTCGTGGTCAGTTTTCATGGGTAAATCTGTGAGAGAGCACCACAACGACATGTGTGTTTTTTGGCACCGAGCACATCCTAAAAATAAAGGGTCACTGTAGAAATAAGAAGGATTACTGTACCCGGTATGAAAGTGGGCGGAGCCTGTTTGAGTCGTGTGGTTTTTGGACAATTGGTTTTATTAGTAGACATTATTATTACCTGAAATTTAGATATTTTTGAAAAGAGGGGGAAATTTAAAAAAAAGGGAAATTGGGAGGAAAAAACGGATGAAACATAAAAAATGGGGGATTTTTCGGATCTTTTTGTAGGTCGAAAATATAATTTGATCTACATTCATACATTCCAGTAAGTCTGAAATTCAAAAAATTACAAACAAAATGGAAAATTTCTAAAAACCAACAAATCCAAAAATTCCATGTTTTCCATTTTTTGGAAAAAATTACTGTTTCAAAAATTGAAAAACTGAAAGCGATGAATTTGAAATCTCACGTCAGTTGTTAGTTGTGAAGCTTTGAATACATTACTAAGAAATTTTCAAAAGATTACTGTACTTGATTTCTGATTTCTTATTCCAGTTAATTTTGAAATTACTGGAAGTTTTAATTTTAAAAAATTACTGTTTTTAAATTTGTTAATTTCAAGAAGTCATTTGATGATTTCAACAGATTATTGTAGTTTTTTGTCTTTCCATTTGGAATACTTTCTCTAAATTTAAATTAATACAAGAGGAAATTGAAAAAAAAAAACTACAGTAATCTGAAAATCAATCTCATTAGAGTATTGAAAACTGCTTGAAAATGAAAAAGTTTGAAACAGCTTTTTTTAGATTAAAATTTTTGAATTTCCAAAACTAGCTGGCCTAACATACTAGCTGGCCTAACAAAAAATGAAATCAGTGAATACGGAAGTCAATTAGTCTCCGGAATACACTAAGAAAGTTCCCAAATGATTACTGTACTCAATTTCTGATTTCTTATCACAATTAATTTGGAAATTGAGAAAGTTTTAATTCAAAAAAACTGCTGTTTCAAAATTTTTTAATTTTCAGGAAGTTATTTGAAGTTTCCATTGCATTAATCAAAGTCTTATAATTTTGAAATTAAAGAAATTATTCCGAATGAAAAGCGGAAAGCACTACAGTAATCACCTGGGTCCAAGGCAACGGGTCGAAAAACGCGCCCCACATAACTTTTAGGCCAGAAAAGTATTAAGAATTTCAAAGTTGACGTGGATTTGACCTAATTAATTTTAATCAACGAGTTGGCAACGCATGATTTTTTTTCGCCCAACGTTTAAGAGTTTGATCCTCAGCCAAATAATTCAGCAGCCAATTTTTTCCAAAATCACGTTTACTGGGGCGCGATTTCTGACCCGTTGCCTAGGACCCAAGCGAATAATCTGGATTATTCGTACATTGAAAACATCGCGGAACTTCTCGAAAATGAACAAATCTTGAAAAATCAATTTTTAAAAAATTAAATTTTTCTCATTTTTCAAAGTTATGTGATCTAGAAAATCAGAAATCAAATACAGTAATCTTCCGGAAATTTCTTATCAAACGCATGTAAAAAACTAATACTTTTGGACCAAAAGTACAAACGAGATTTCAAGTTCATCGTTTCCATTTTTTCAATTTTTGAAACAGTAATTTTACTCAAAAATTGGAAAAGATTCACTTTTCAGAAATTCAAAAATTCAGAAATTCAAAAATTCAGAAACTCAGAAATTAAGAAAATCAGAAATTAAGAAAATCAGAAAATCAGAAATTCAGAAATTCAGAAATTCAGAAATTCAGAAATTCAGAAATTCAGAAGTTCAGAAATTCAGAAATTCAGAAATTCAGAAATTCAGAAATTCAGAAATTCAGAAACTCAGAAATTCAGAAATTGGGAAATTCAGAAATTCAGAAATTCAGAAATTCAGAAATTCAGAAATTCAGAATTTTCAGAAATTCATAAATTCCAAAATTCCAAAATTCCAAAATTCAGAAATTCAGAAATTCAGAAGTTCAGAAATTCGGGTATTCAAAAATTCAGAAATTCGAGAGTTCAGGTTCTCAGAAATTCCAAAATTCAAAAATTCCAGAATTCAGAAATTCAGAAATTCAGAAATTCAGAAGTTCAGAAATTCAAAAATTCAGAAATTCAAAAATTCAGAAACTCAGAAATTTAGAAATTCAGAAATTCAAAAATTCAAAAACATTGAACTCAATGTAGCTTATATGTTATTTTTAATGTAAAATAAGCCAATATTTGAAACTGTAAATTTTGAAACAGATATTTATTTATTAAATTTAATCACATAATTACACCGTTTCAATAAAGTAATTATAATTAAAATCTTAATTAAAAAATGAATAGATTAAATAAATAACACTTTTTGTCACTGAAACGGCGGGTGGGCGGACAAATCACTGGCAAATTGAGGGGGAGAGAATGAAAGATAATTAGGGGGTAATTAAGGGTAATTAAGTTTTTTGAGCACCTATTTGATTGGGGGTCACATTGGGGTTGGGAAAATTGAGCGAAATTTTTGAAAAACGAAGAAAATTTGAAGGAAAAATGAGATTCTTTGGGGGTGAGAAAAAATGAAATTTGAAAAAAAATGATACAGTAATCTTTGCGGAAAAACTACAGTATACTTTTGTGCTGATTCGGGTGTGTACGTTGATGGTAGTCCGGTGTTGGAATCACGATTGTCTGTATACGTCTGGAAAAAAATTGAAAAATTAAAAAAAAATTTCGGAATTTGATAAAATAGGAATAGTGAGAAGCGGGGGGAGATAAGATGTGAGATGAAAAATCTTAAAACTTCGATTTTTCCAAATATTTCTAAAAAAATTGAAATTCAAAATTCAAAATTTTTTTGAAAAATAGAATTTTTTTTGAAATTTCTGAAAATTCGGAAGTAATTCTACAGTAATATTACAGTAATCCTACAGTAACCCTACAATAACCCTACAGTAATCCTACAGTAATCCTACAGTAATCCTGCTGTATCCCAATATAAATTTCAAGAAAAATTCAAAAAAATTACCGTTTCATAGTTTTTCAAAAAATGAAAACTACAGTAATCTACAGTTCATACAGTAACTAGTTTTCAAATTACAGTAACCCTACAGTAACACCCCCAAAATCCAAAAATCAACTGAAAGAGAAGCCATGCAAAACAGAAAAAAGCCAAACAAAAAAGCAAAAAGAATTACTGTAGCTACAGTAATCCAAGTGGATTAGAGAAGCATTAGAACCGAAAAAAAAACCACAAATTTCAAAGTTCCTTACTTGTTGTTCGCGGTAAATTCGTCGGAAGAATTACTCGACTGAAAATATCAGAAGAATAGAGAAATGTCTCAAAAAATGGAATTTCTAGAAAATTTCAAAAACTCACTTCGTAACAGGATCCAGTCTTCCCGATGGATTTATGGCGTACATTGATTCTTCTATGCTGAAAGTTTCAAATTTCAGTTGACAACTGAAAAAAGGTAAACATTTTCTTCAAAATGATCCAAAAACCACTTAAAACAAACCATTTTGAAGTGAGTTATGAGCCTTTGAAGTTCAGAAGAGACGCATAGAAACGAGAGCGTTCTCGTTTCTCTGTGTCTCTTCCGTAAACTTCAAAGGAGCATAACTCGCTTCAAAATGGTCCGTTTTAAGTGCACAGGGTAACGGCTACGCATGGTATATGCCTAGGCGTGCATATAGGATGCTATGTGTGCGCGCTATATGCGTCGTCGCTGGGCACGACTGGTCGCCGGTGGTCGCACCCATATAGCATCCATATAGCATGCACGCTTTTCCCATGAAAGCGGCAGTACACCAACGACACTCCGTTATTACGCTAGTGCGCCTTGTTTAGCAAAATTTTTCACCGCCGATCTTGATAAATTATTCGATCATATTGATCATATTTCCTGCTTTCAAAGAACTTCTCACTGTTTTCACTTGTAAAAATTATGCCCAACTAAAATACAACCTATTTTTTTGTGAAGAAATCGATAAAATTTGTTACAAAATCCGATTTTTCTCGAAATCAGGATTTTCTGTTTTACTTTGGAATAATATACTTTTCAGGT